TCCGACCCCATCTGCTCGGACCCCATCCTCCTCCTCTTCCTCCTCCTCCTCCTCCTCCTCCTCCTCCTCCTCCGCCCCCTCCTCCTCCGCCCCCTCCTCCGATGCCTGAACCATTCCTCCCCGCCGCTCCTCGGTTCCCCATGTGTTTCGTTAGGCAGATGTTCAACAGCATGGCTAGCACTATCGCGAGTCCAACCCGTCGCCACTTTGGCTCAAGCTGTTTCTGTGTACAGGCCGTCTGATGGGCTGGCGAGGCCAGCGAAGGCTCACCACGGAGCGCCTGCGTAACAAGCTATCACATACAGCACAGTTGTTGTATTTGTGCGGGTGCAGCAGACGTTTACCCCTGGGCACTCCCGGGCAGAGCGGCGGGCGAGGTGTATCTCCTCGAGTGCGCGGGCGTGACCTCGCTGAAGGCGGGCGCCGCGGCAGGGGAGAGGGGAGGCTCCCCGCAAGAGAGGCTTGTCGCCGGAGCGACCTGTGGCTGCTTTCGGGGGGCGCGCGGGGGCCAAATCCAGACGCGCAGGCCGCTACCGCCGCACCCGTCACGCAACGATCGGCAAGTCGGTCACTGTTTCTCTCTCTTGCGGGTGGCCGGATAGCTTCCGGATCACGAGAGGGGAGAGGGGCAGGCTGGGTGTGTTTGCGCCATGTCTGACTTCCCACTCCTCCCACCCTTCCCTTCCTGTTGCTTTGATTTATGTTTATCCGCCGACGGGTGTCATAGAGGGCCTGGAGCAAAGGGCACCAACGTGTTATGCGCAGTCACATAAGGGGAGCTGTGGGCGTTGGAGGAGGGAGCTGCGGATGAGCATGAGGAGGAGCAGAAGGAGGAGGAGGAGGAGCAGGAGCAGGAGCAGGAGGAGGAGGAGGAGGATAAGAATAATAAGATAAGGCGGAGGACGAGGACGAGGACGAGAACGCGCAGCAGCAGGAGCAGGAACGGGAGGAGCTGGAGGAAGAGGAGGACGAACGGAAGTCGATGGAGGGGAAAGGTGCCGTGCGACGACGATTGGGACAGCTTCGGATCCAGAAACGGGGCCCGCGCCTTGCTGACCGACGGGAGCAAAGCGCCGATCATAAAATGAGGCTTGCGCTGCAGCGGCAGCTCCATTCTGAAGCACCGACAACATTCCAAGTGGAAGTGGGACAACGACCATCGAATCCTGTTTGATACGCAGTAAGTGGAGAGGGCGGGACATCTTCCGGACGGAGCCGAGGGGCAGGGGGAGAGTATAGTGGTGGCGCGCATAACAGAAACAGCATGATCTCTGCCAGGGTACCTTGTTTCTTCGCCCCGCGCGCTGCTGCGCGGTGACTTCCGCGGCCGGTGAGGGAGCTGCTGCGTCCAGGGTGCCCTGGATCTCTTCTCGGGTCCCGCGCGCGGGTCTTCAGGGCTGGGACTCTTGCGAGGGTTTCCTGCGGACGCGCCCGCACCGTAGCGCCCATGCTGGGTAAGTATGCGTGCCAAACTTGTTTGGCATACAGTGAGCGACTTGAATAAGGAACACGAACTTTTCGAAAGGGGCTCCGTCGTTCCTTAGGCTTGCATGCGTTATTCATCGTCCCGTATACGTGATTGATTGGTTATCGTTCCTTATGCGTAACCCCCTGGAGAAAAAAAGGGGCTTCGTTCCTTATTTATCGTTCCTTAGGTCAGGCCGATGACGGTACTCGCAGCCGAGCCCGCCCGCGCACGCTTCGCGTCGACGGCCCGCGGCAGCCTCGCAGCACCCCGGCATCATCAGGGCGTGCTTGCCCGACGGGCCTCTCACGCCAGAGCCCCAGGTTTGTAAAGGGTGACCCCCCCTCCTCCTCCTCCTCTCCTCCTCCTTCCTCTCCTCCTCCCCCGCCTCCTCCTCTCCCCTTCTCCTCCTCCCCCTCCTCCCTCCCCCCTCCCTCCTCCTCCTCCCCCTCCCCCTCCCCATCCCCCCTCCCCCTCCTCCCACAAACGTCCACCCGTGGAGCCTGCTACATCTGTGTAAGCCTGTGGCCAAGGTAGTTGAGGAGGTCTCAAGCAAGAGTCCTCCTCTCCTCCTCCTCCTCCTCCCCTCATCCTCTCTCCTCCTCCCTCCTCCTCCCTCTCCCTCTCCTCCTCTCTCCCTCTCCTCCTCCTCCTCCCCTCCTCCTCTTCCTCATCCTCCTCCTCCTCCTCCTCCTCCTCATCCTCCCCTTTGGAGGAGAGGTTGCCCTCCAGATTCTGCAGGTCCTGCAATCAGTCAGGGTGAATGCGCGTGGCGCTAAGACGGGAGCTCTAGAGTAAACAAATACAGGCCTCCACCCTCTACGTTTTACCGGTCTTGACGACGAGTGCGCGCGACGCCCAGGCGAGAACTTCACTTCGACTTTGGAAGGGGTACCGACAGTCACCCTTGTAGTTGTTGCAATTGTTTGAAATTAGCGTGCTCGGCGCTGATCATTGATCCTAAACATACCCTTACCCGGGGTCGGCCTGGGTGAAAAGGGCTGTCCGCTGGATTGGGCGCTTGCCACTGCGCCCGATCAGCCTGCCGCGTGCGCTCTGGTTCAGCATCCGCGCGTCAGGATTCAACGACACGCTGAATGGCTGGCTGTTTGATTGCAGCGACATGCCCTGGTTTGCGTCAGGGACGTTTGGGGGCATCGGGGGTGTCCGCGGGATTTGGTACAGCATTGGAGTGGTGGTGCCTGTTCCATTTGGGGACAGTCGCCACCAATCCGTTGCGTTTGGGCCTGCCTGCAGGAGCGCCCTTGCAATCTCACGCTCCCTTGGGGGCCGCTGCGGCCGCGTTTGGGAGAGCTCTCGGGGGCCGCGCGTGCGCCCGAGAGCGATTTCGGCCAAACGCCCCTTCAATTAGGTACGGGTATGTCTCTGGGGGTACCATCAACGCACGTCGGCGACGGTATCCCCTGACACGTACCCAGACCTAGCTGGGGTGACTCCAGGCGGGTTTCCCAGGGAGCAACCCCTGGCGACCGCGCCTGGTGTTCGGGGCCCCACGTGTTTGGGGCGAGCGTGGGGTTGCAGCGGTGCCCGTCCAGGACACCCGGGACGCATTTTGCGCGTCGGGCCGCAAACGTTTGATTGTGCGCCTTCGCGGGCGCACCCCCGAACGAACTACTTTAGCCCTTGAGCGACCAATGCGTGGTCCGCCATTCTTCCGATTGGAACGCACGCGCTTTCGGCACCAGCGGATGTTTTGAGAAGGCAGCGTCCTGTAATGTTCCATGGGCCGTCACGTCTGCACTTGTGCGACCGCCGTCGGCTGCGGCGTGTTGCTCCCCCCGCCCCTTGCCACCCCGCCCGGGTAAGGGTACGGGTACTTTTCGCGCTTGGGAGCTGATGCGAGAGGTCCGTTTTGAACAGATGTTGCCCCCCACTCCACGTAACATTTGCAAGCTTTTGGAACGAATGTAGGCGGAGCCACAGTGAGAGCGCCACGTTGAGAACGTACCAGCCTCCATCCGTGTAGCTGGTGCGCAGTGTTGCACTTGCGTGGACAGTTTTCAGAAAGTGTCCAGCGAGAGCTTCGAGAAGGCACCGGCCTATAAAGTTGCTCATGCTTGTTAATATTTGTTCAAAGCGAGCGTGTGCATGCTCAAGACGAGCGCGTGTGCATGCTCAAGACGAGTGCGTGTGTGGTGGTATGACGAGCGCCCCAAGCTTGAACTCACCTTGGTTTCCATCCGCGTAATTATCGTCATTTTTAGGACGAACTGTGCGGCGCCAGGGCGGGCGCCCATTTCTGAAAGGAACACCGCCTCCATCCATATGTAATGGCCTTGGGCCCATCCCGCCACCGGGTTTGGGTTGTGGGTCGCAGGTCGTGTGGAGGTCCGTTGGGCTGTCGTGGAAGGCTTTGCCGGGGCTTTTTGGGAGCCGTTTTGAGGCCTCCGGGGGCCGTTTTGGGGCCTCGTTGGGTGTCTTTGGGGCCTCTTGGGGGCTTTTGGGGGCGTCTTGGGAGCCTGTTGGGGTCTGTCGGGGCCCTCTTGGAACTTCCTGGAGCGGTCTCGGAGCTCAGAGCTCGAATTTTCGGATCGTGGTCCCCCTCATGCACCCCTCTTGGGACTGTCTTGGGGCCCTCGTGGGCTGTTTTGGACGCCTCTTGTTTCGTCTTGGGGTCATTTGGGGCCGTCTTTGGGCCGTCTTGGCAGCCGTTCGGGGTCGTCTTTGGGCGATCTTGGGGGCCTCTTGGGCTGCCTTGAAGTGTCGGAAATCTGAAAATACGAAGGATCGCAAATCTTCAGAACCCTTGCGGAAATTACAGATTTTTGCGTTTTCGGACCTTCGCGGGAGGCCGCTTGGACGCCTCCTGGGGTATGTCGTCTGCAAGCTTGAGTTTGGTACTGGCGAAGTACCATATGAGGCACGTGGTTTGTATGCTCGATATGGCACCGACCAAGTACCAGTTGAGGCATGCCGTCCGTATGCCTCAAGTGGTACCAGTCAAGTACCGCTTGAGGCATGGCGTCTGTATGCCTCAAGTGGCCAAAGTGGTATCAGGCAAGTGCCTGGGTTGTGAGTCCGAGGTTTCTTCAGTGTTCGTAAAGGTCTCTTGAGTGTTCGTCGGGATCTCGTGGTAGACCTATCGAGGGCCTCTTGAAGGCAGTTCTGAAGCCCCTTGGAGCCATTTTGGAACCTCTTAGGGCCTCTAATCTGAGGGCCCTATTGGGGCCTCTTTGGGCCCACGAAAGTCTCGGGACGTGGTCCCCCTCTGGGGCCTCTCTTGGGACCTTCTTGGGGCCTTCTTGGGCGCCTCTTGGGCCGTCTTGGGGCCCTCTTGAGGCCTCTTGGGCCGTCATGGGGCGATCTTTGGGCCGCCTCAGAGCGTCGGGAAGCCGAAACGGCGAGAATGCCAACATCCAAACCCTAGAGAAAAACATGAATTTTCCCTCTTGGGCCCCTCTTCGGACGCCTCTAAGAGGCCTCTTGGGCGTCTTGGAGGCCTCTTGGGCCATCTGGGGGCCACCTTGCGCATCTTTGTGCGATCTTTCGGCGTTTCGGGGCCATCTTGGACAGTCTTTGAGGCCTCGTTGGGCCCTCTCGGCGCGTCCTGAGTCCTTCTGCGACCCGAGACGGTCATGCGAGAGGACGCCGGAATCCTCAGGGAGCACGCGAGAAGCCCAACAAGATCTGGCAAGATGGGGTCCGGGGCCCTCGGAGACTCATCAGGATTGAGGACTGAGGCTTCGAGGACGAGGGACAATGACGCGAGTGCACGCCAACGCCGTGCCCAGAGGCACGGTGTCAGAGCCCCGAATCATCAGGGGTAACTCGGGTCAGAGATAACTCGGGTTCGTTTTTCGGGAATCCGAACCCGAGTTACCCCGGACCCGAGTTACCCCGGATAACTCGGGCGTCCAGAGCCCCGAATCATCAGGGGTAACTCGGGTCAGGGCTAACTCGGGTTCGTTTTTCGGGAACCCAAACCCGAGTTACCCCGGACCCGAGTTACCCCGGATAACTCGGGCGTCCAAGCTTCGAGGACGAGGGACAATGACGCGAGTGCACGCCAACTCCGTGCCCAGAGGCACGGTGGCGGAGAAGTGCTGCAAGTTTCTGAGACGAGTGGGCGGTGTTGAATCGAGAGTCCCAGTCTGTAAAAGGCCTGGTTCCCATCCGTGTGACTGTTGGACGTTTCGAGTTGCTGGGCAGCACTCTGGTGGGAATTATCGGGCAGAACGTCCGGGCCGATCTACGAACACGTTTGGTAGTTCGACTAGGGGAGGTGCGTATAATTAAAACGGGCTGAGGAGGAGGAAAAGGAGGAGGAGGAGGAGGAGGACTACGGCGAGGGCGACGATGACGATGATAGTGATGATGGGGAGGAGGAAGAGGAGGCGGAGGGATCGAGGAGGAGGAGGAGGGGGAGGGCCGGTGGAGGGGGTTCGGGGAGATCGGGGAGGCTCTTCCCAGGGGCTTGGAAACGTGCAGGTGGACGAGGGGGGGGGATCGAGGAGCGTCGAGGAGGGCGACGAGGAGGGCGACGAGGAGGGCGAGGAGGAGGGCGACGAGGAGGGCGAGGAGGAGGGCGACGAGGAGGGCGAGGGGCGGGGCGTGGAGGGCGGCGCCCCGGGGGCGCCCCCGCCGGGGCCCCGAGGGCCGAGCGGACAGCTGGCTGGCGTTCCTGGCGCGCTTCGCGGCGCTGCTGGCCGTCTTCGCGGTGTCCGCGGGGGTGTCCAGCGGGGCTGCGCGCCGCCCGCCGCGAACCGTGGAGGTTGAAGGGGGGGGGGGAGGGTCTCGCAGGCCTAGAGGTTGGCACCAACACCAATTTCGGCGGTTCGCCTCCGCCGCGGGAAGAAGATCCCGATCTCGGCGATGGTGGTGATATTCTGGCTTCCAAGGTCCGTGAGTGAATTGCGAGGAAATCTCAGGCGGGAGCCCCCTGGGAGGGAGGGAGGGAGGGAGGGAGGGAGGGAGGGAGAAAGGGAGGGAGGAGGAGGAGGAGGAGAGGAGGAGGCGGAGGAGGAGGAGGAGGAGGAGGAACACCGAAAATCCAGGATCGCCTTTCCCCCTGTGGAGGCGCAACCTGCTGTCCTGGTGTTGGTGCCGATTTTCCCAGGCCTCCGAGGGTCGTGCCGGGGGCGGGAGGGGGCTGTGCTCATCGAAGGAGAACAAAAACGGGAGGAGGGGGGAGGAGGAGGAGGAGGAGGAGGAGGCGAGGAGGGGGAGGAGGAGAAGGAGGAGGAGGAGGAGGAGGGCGAGGAGGGGGAGGAGGAGGAGGAGGAGGAGGAGGAGGGGGAGGGCGAGGAGGGGGAGGAGGAGGAGGAGCAGGAGGAGTAGAAGGAGAACAAAAACGCCACACCTTAGGCGATGCTTAAGAAAACTTAAAGTTTTCGGCCAGAGTCTCGATGATTCTTAACGTTTCCATGCAGATCTTAAGATTTTCATAGACATGTTGGGTTTTTGTTCAAGTTCTGAGACTAAGAATTTCTTAACCCATGATTTCTAAAGCATTTCGCAAGGTGCATGTATAAACATAAATCTGTGGCGCTCCGCGCGGACTTCTTGGAGCCGCGCAGGGCCCCCCCCGGCGGCGCCTCCAGCGCCGCCCCCTGGCGCGCTCCGCGCGCCAAGGAGGCGCCGGAGCCGTCATGTTCGTCATTCACGTTTCCTTCAAGGGATGGCGGATAGGGGGGGGCGTGTGAAGCCGCCGGATGAGGGCTCCTTGCGATTCGCCCCAGAAAAGATCAGCCACGCGCAGAGGGGAGTGGGGGGAGGGGGAGGGCTTCTTAGAAGCCCTCTGCTTCTCAGAAGGCGCGCCTTCTATGAGAAACAGCCTCCTTGTAAGAAGCCCTCCCCCGTCCCCCCACCCCCTTGCAGCAGGAGAAGAAGCACACAGACACAATTCATCCTCGATTCCCCCGAAGATGTGGGAAAAAATATGGGAAGCGGGGGGAAGACAACCCCCCCCCCAAAAGGAACAGATGGGACACACGTTTCTTTGTGTGTCTCTATTTGTGTGTCCTGGGGCCCCTTCCCCCTCGTGCGCGCCGCCAAAGGAGAGGAGGAGGAGGAGGAGGAGGAGGAGGAGGAGGAGGAGGAGGAGGAGGAGGAGGAGGACTGCCAATATGGACTGCCAAGGTGTGGGAAGGCCCCTCGGGGCTTGACCGCCCCGCCCCGAGCGCCGCCACCCCGGAGGGCCTATGGGCCAGCGCGGCGGGGACAGCGGGCTTGGGCCCTCCGGGGATGCGCCTGTTGCAGGTCCGGGCCTCCGGGCCCCCCAGTCACCCCAGACCATATGGATCAGGGCCCCTTAAATTTCCGGAACAAAGTTAAGTTTCAAGTGTTTAAGTTAAGTGTGATTGTTTTAAGGTAAAGCGTAAGTGCAGTCAGGAAAGTTAAGGGGTGAATTTAAGGTCACATGCGCTGAGTTAAAGGGAAAATCTAAGGTAAGAGAGGTTGGGCTGCTCAGGGACACTTAGGGGACATCTAAGGAACAACTAAAGTAAATCTAAGGGGCGGGAGGGTGCATCTAAGGAAAAACTAAAGTAGATCTAAGGGGCGGGGCGGAAAACAACTAAGGTAATTTTAATGGGCGGGCCGAAAGTCTAGAATAATTCTACGGGGCTGGTTTCTGGATCGAACACAGATTACCTTATATGTTCCCTTTAGCTCAACGCGCCACGAACTACGGTCGCACTTAACGTAAGACTCAAAGCTGAACTTCGCGCCGACATTCTGGGAAGGGGAACGCCCGAGGCCACTGCAATATGCAAAGGAAATGAGCCAACTCGAAAGGGATCGACCCCTTTTCCGAAGGGGCAAGCTCAGCCTAAGAGGCAGAGTGGGAGGACGAGGGGGAGGGCGGGGGTGGAATGGCGGCCAGGGCGACGGGGAGGAGGAGAAGTAGGAGGAGGAGGAGGAGGAGGAGGAGGACGAGGAGAAGAAAGAGGAGGAGGAGGAGGAGGAGGAGGGGAGGAGGAGGACACTCTTCACGCACCCAGACGGGCGCTCGCCGCGCAGGCGCCGTCCCTCCGCCCGTCGGCCGACTCAGTCCGAAAGGCTCTCATCGGCAATTCCGTCTCGCCCACCCTGGAAGATCTCGATCCTATCCATCAAACTTCTGTTTATAGTTTTCAGTGCCGCGATCTTCTGCTCAAGCTCGGCAATCTTTTTGGCGGAGGCCTCATCGGACGCTTTCTTTGCCTCCTTGATCTTCTTCACAGCCTCGGCTCATCCCCCTTGTCTCCCAATCACCATCCCCCTCCCGTCCTCCACACCTCATCCCCCCCCCTCCTCCAGCCTACCCCCCGCCCCTCTCGTCCCCCCATCGAGGGGGGGCGAGAGGGGTTTGGTTTTTCGGTTTCGGCCTTGTGGACATCATCGCAGGCCGAGTCAAAGGTTGGCGGCTCGCGCTTAGGCATTGCTGGCAAGGCCTCGGGCGGGCCCTGTGCCTCGGGCGGGTTGCGGTCTTGGGCAAATCCCTCGCGGGCGAGGAAGGCTCCCCCGACGCCTTTCTCTTCTGTCACTCCTTATCTCGTGCCCTCCTCCCCCTCCTTCACTATCATCATCCCTCCTCCCTCTCCTCCTCCCTCCTCCCCCTCCTCCCCTCTCCTTCCTCCCCCTTTCCTCCCCTCTCCTCATCCTCCGCCTTCTCATCCCATTCGTCTCCGCCTGCCCTTCCTCGTGTTCCTCCAACTCCCTGCTCTCCTCCTCCGCATACTCCTCGCCGTAGTATTATCATCCTCGTCGTGCTCATCCTCATCATCATATTCGCCATCTTCTTCCTCCTCGCCCCTCTTAGTGGCCACAGTTTTTTACAGTCACGCGTCGTTCTGAACGACTTCGTTTGACAAAGACAGTGCCTGCCTATATCTAGGCACGAAGTAGCAAGGAACCTTGTGCCGAGGCGCGCCTCTCGTCGCGAATCCAGCGAGAATTTTGCAGTGCTTCATAAAATCTTCATCAAGCCAGCATGCTGGTCTGCGGGGGTGAAGGTACCTACACCTGGATGCCCAGTGCCACATCCAGTGCAGCTTTGGCGCTGCTGTGAAAAGAAGTAGGCCTTGGGCGTCAGCCGTCAAGCCAAGCTCAGTGTAAAGGCCGAGGAATCGGTCGACGGCCGCCTCAAGGATGACACAGTCACCGAGTGGCATGAAGACGGCCGCCGAACTCGCATCCACCAGATCTGTTATCTGAAGAAGCGTCTCTAAAATACTTGAAACTGGCCTGGAGAACACGTCGGCTAATCCAAGCGACGCCCATACATGCAACAACGGCGCGACGAGGCTCTTGATCTGAGCACCGCGGCCCTTCAACTTTGGATATTCGTCCATGGGCCTCTTGATGTTAATGAACAAATTGAGCTGCATCGATTGGAATATGCAACCGCCTCGATCCTGGATCCTAGCCCACACGTGCAAAAGGTTACGAGCAGGGCTGCTTGGAAGCATGCGGAAGCATAGGAGCCAAAGGGCGCTCCCCAGCAGATATTGCGCCACGCCAAGCCACACTACGTGAAGCTCGTCGGCTTCAAGATTGCAGCATGATAAAAAAGAAAATGTCCTGAATATCGGATGCATGCCATGTTGCCGCATCTTGCGCCATTCCGCAGCGCTGTGTTGATGATGTTTCCACTCGCACCCTCTACTGAAGTTCATGGGGTGCATGGCGGGGGGCCCCCGTTTATCGCAATTGTCGTACTCACACGGGTCGTCTCTATTATAGTGGTTCAAGCCGAGGTTCTTTGCGTAATAATCCAAGTCGCCTTTGATTGACCAAATGACGCAGAAATACCCATCCGCCAATTGAGCTTTCCTGGCCCCCAAGAGAGCATCGCTTGTGCCATCGGGGAACGCATTGCCCAGATGGTCTTTTTCGGGGTAGCAGCCTCTGTACAACGATGAAAAACTCCACATAATATATGCCCACGCCTGATCCATTGTCCTGGCGGTTTTACAATTGTCAAAGCACGAGAAGATGAGGAGCTTCTGACTGTTTACGCTTCCCTTGGAAAACAAAGATGACCAAGAGATCGAATCCAAGGATTCAGCCGTTGCTCGGCCACACGCGATTACTGGCACCGCATCGCCGTGCACCATTATCGGGATTGCGCGCTCTCTCCAACGAGGGACGGCAACCATGGGATGGTTTGAAATTCGCGGGTCGCCCCGCAGTTCGACTTCGCGCCAAAACTCACTGAGCGTCGCTGGCCCCCCGCCAGGACCTAAGAAAGTATTAATGAATGTGCGCGGCTGCGCATCGAACATCCATGCAAATAGCAAGTGTGGCAAGATAAAAGGCAAAGGACATGTCTCTATTGACGCCTCAACCGACTTAGGTTTGTTATTTTTGACTTCAACGTCAATCGAGCACTCATGGGGAATGCCGAAATCGCCAAGCCAATCCTGCAAATCACGCTTGATGTTGTTTGGTCTTCTTCCAGCTGAGCCCAGCGCCGCCAATGCAGCCAACGATCTGGACGCGTGACCAGTATTGATGCCCCTTGACGTAAGTAAGCGCTGCTGGTCTCGAAGTGCTCGCTGCGCCCTTTTCTGAACAGAGGCAGCCGATATTTCGCCCCATGCCCAACTTTTGACCAAATCTAACGCCTCCTCGCTGTCGAAGCGGCCCGTCGCACCTGCTAGGGACATGCATCATATTCCCTGTGTGATATGGGCGACAAGGGGGGGGGGGGCTGGAACATAAGTTACGCATGCTCTCGGTATGTATATGTGATGGGAGCGCCTCTCCTTAGTCCAAAAAAAACCTGTCCTCATCCACAGCCCCTCGTCGCATCCCCCCTCCCCCATCCCTCCTCCAGCTCATCCTGTTCGAAATCCTCTTCACTCTCGGCACACCTCGTCGTCCTCTGCCCCGTCATCGTCGTCTCCTTTGCCATCGTAGCAAACATCATCCATCGCATCGACCTCGTCAGAGCTATCCCCCCCCCTATCGTAATCATCTTAATCGTCCCCCCATTCTACGCCTTCTCATCCTCATCCCCCTCCTGCGCCCGATGCCCCCCGTGTCTACCCCGTCGCCCTCTCCACGCCGTTCCCCCTCATCCCCTTTCATCGGCCATTCTTACTTCATCATCGTCACTCTGCTCCAGTGCACCCTTTCCCACCCCCCCTCCCCCGCCCCCGCTGTCTCCCATTTCTCCGCGTCCTCGACTCGATATCAGTCCTCCCTCCTCCTCGCCCTCCTCCTCCTCCCTCCTCTACCGCAGGTCTGGATTCGCCCCTTCCCGCTCCCCAGGAGAACGGTCTGCTTCGGGGCCTCCGATGGGGGACGTCGCCCCCCGCGGCCCCACGAGTGAGGAAGCAGGGGCATGGCCAGAGCTCAAACGAAACAACACGTTCCAGCCCCCCCAGCGCGCGCGTGCCGAGCTGAGACTTGCCAGACCCATCACCCCTGCCCGCAGTTTGCCAGTGTGGACATAAACCGAGGGATGGGGGGGGGGCACTATGGGTAGCACTATAAATTATTTCCACACATTGTAATCGGTTGTGTTGTTATGATTCATCCTGGCACCTAGGGCCCCAAGGCAATAGAAACACTTGTGCAATGTGTCTGGCGTTGTTATTTGAGGCGCAGGCCACCAGGTCACCCGAAAGCGAAGCGAGAGGAACGCGGTGTGGCATTCAGTATACCAAGAATGCAAATGCAACGAATACTTTTTTTGGAGGCGGAAGGGGTCCATTACTACAATCAAAATCTATAGTAAAGATGGGCGCCGTTCCCAAGGGGCACCCTTGCATCCTTAGATGCAATCGGGCCTTGGGTGCCCTTGGGAACGACGCCCATCTTGACTATAGGTTTTGATTGTGCCGTGATTGAAGTCTCTGCGGGCATTGCCTCCGTCGGCGACGGCGGCATCGAGCTCCTCGAGGCGTTCGCGCCTCTGTCGCCTGCCTGGCATCTGCCGAACAGCTTGAGTCAGAATTGCTATGTACGGTCCCAATGTATACGTGTGCATGTGTCAATGTATATGTATGGCTATGCAGTAACAGCACGTGAATGCGCGGTTAGGATGCCAGCCCCTCGGACGCCCATGCAGAGTTGTTTCAATTGCGTTAAAGTTGGTGGGGCGATGAAGGAAGGATGGGCCGACGAGGCAAGGATGTAAAGGTGCCGCTAGGGACTCTTAGGCAGCACCAAAGTTAATGTCGACTACTTTTTTTTTCACGCACTGATCTATTGTCTGTTTTATCATCAGGTGGTATCCAGTGAAGACTTATGTATGGTTTGTGGGGGAGCGCTGAAAGACACCAAGCTTACATTATTCCTGTCGCAATTCAGGAGGACTTATGCATGGTTTGTGGGGAAGCGCTGAAACACACCAAACTTACATAACTCCTGTCACACGAAATTGTACTGCATGCTCATCGTGAAAGCAATTTCAATGCAATGCGTGTGCCTTTTTTGTTTGTTTGATTTAACCGTTGTTTGTTCGGTTTGATTAGTTTTTTCTTCCCAACCCCGCCCCTTCCCTCCTTCCCAACGCAAGCAAGTGGTAGGCCCAGGCAGTGCTGCTGATCAACATCCTCACAATCTCTATCAGTAAGTTCCCCTTCAAGCTGAAAGGACACGTCAAGCGCGCATCCCAAGCGCGCTTCCCCTGCAACCGTTGTCGCACGATTGCATTCGCAGCGCGGCCTGCTCACCGCGCACCTCATAGCGTAGAAATGCAGCTATGTCGGCTGTACAGGCAGGACGCTGAAGGTAGACGGCAAGCGCAAATGTGTCTTAGATTTGTCTTAGATTCGTCTTAGATTTGTTTTAGAGTTGTCTTAGATTCGTCTTAGATTCATCTTAGATTCATCTTAGATTTATCTCAGATTTATCGTAGATATATCTTAGATTTGATAAATCTCAGATATTTTATCTTAGATATTTCAAATCTAAAATAAATCTAAGAAAAATCTACAATAAATCTAAGATAAAACTAATACAAATCTAATACAAATCTAACACAAATCTAAGACAAATCTAAGACAAATCTAATACAAATCTAAGACACATCTACGATACATTTCAGACAACGCCCTCAATTTCAGACAACCTCCTCCTCCTCCTCCTCCTCCTCCTCCTCCTCCTCACTCCCCCCCTCACTCCTCGTCCTCGCTTTCCTCATCATTCCTTCTTCTCACTCCTCCTCACTCTTCCTCCTCACTCCTTCTCTCTATCGCCCGCCTCCTGACTCCCCTCTCCCCAGTGGCCTCCCAGACTTGCGTCTTGCCGTCTGCCCACGTTTAAATGCGAGAGCTGATCGCACCCTACGCCGACGACTTCAAGGCCTTCTGCGCCCTCCGCTTGTCGGCCGCCAGGATGTCCTTCATCTGCTTGTGCACCTCGGACAGCTCCTCGTAGATCTTGCCCGCCGCGATGAGGGCGTCCTCAGCTGCGACCTTCGTCACCTCCTCAGGCTCCGTCATGAGGAGCTTCGTCGCCAGGTTGCTCGGCGCGACTGCCTTCTTCAGAAGATCCAAGCCCGTGTTCGCCAACTTCTTCACCAGCTCGCTCTGGCTGGACCGACAGAGGGCGGGCGACATCCGCTGCAGGTCCATTGACAGTGACGTGAGGCTGTCGTTGCAGTTCTGGAGCAGCAGGTAGTCGGACTCGCTCGCCATGGTGTCCTGAGGGGCCTCCGCACTCGCATCCTCTGCGTTAGCTCATTCTCCTCACATTCAACCTCCTTGGGGAGGCCCCTTGGTTCCAATTTCGCGGGGCCAGGCGGATTCCTGAACCGCCACCCGTCCCACGCACGTCTTGAGCCGACGCCAGATGAGGATATCAATATGGAGGATGAGGGAGAACGCCGTAATATAACATTATGGCTCAAGACGTGCATGGGGCGGGGGGTGGTTCCAGAATCCGCCCAGCACCGCGAAATTGGAACCAAGGGGCCTCCCCAGGAGGTTGAGTTTGAGGAGAATGAGCTAACACAGAGGATGCGAGTGCGGAGAAGGAAGGGGAGGGGGAGTATACGCCATGGCAGTAAACTCTGAAACGCGTTTGGATGGCCACGTGTCCTTCAAGGCGGACCTCTGCTTCTTGGTCCGTGGAGGGCCCTCGATGAACCAGCCAGGACGGGCGTCGAAATCTCCAATCTCAGCCAAGCCACCCATGAACTTCTTCGAGTCCTTGACGTCCCACGACTCCTTGCCCTCCCTCCTGTTGCGCTTGGTGTCAGAGGCCTTCTTGGTTTGCGTGTCGTACACGAAACGCGTCTCGTCCTCGGGGTCCGTCCAGACGTCGCCAGCGTCGTGGGCGTCCTCGAAGGCGTGCTTGTTACCGTGGAAGATCTTCTGAATCATGATGCTCTTCTTGAAAGACTGCTTGGTCGTGCTGTCCTGAATATCATGCATTTTCGTTGTTTAATGCGCAATGCTCTGATGCTTAATGTTGTTTTGTTGATACATGTTTGTCGTTGCTTAAGTTTTAATTGTGGGAAGAGGAGGAACATATAATGATGAGCAAGTCCTCTTTCGAGTGCTCTCGGCTGGTCACCCTCTGCAGCGCCATCTTGCCGGGCTTGATGCGACCGCCGTAGCCCACGTCCCTCGGCACGTACGCGTTGATGATCTCGTTGGCCAAGCGCTCCTTCCCCTTGATGGTGCACTCTTTCGACTTGTACCAGTCGTACTTGTCCAAGTCCTCCTGGCAGATGCTCTCCCTGCACATCTTGAAGACGCGGCGCTGGGACAGCGACGTCTGCCTCGAACCAGCCTCCCCGTCAATGCGCTGGCCCTCGTCCTCGTCGGCGTCGAACTTCGCTTTGACTACTGCCCCCTGCTTTGGCAAGTCCCTCACCGCCAACTGCCACTCCTGCTTTGACGACGAATTCGCAGCTGCAGCAGGGCGACGCAGGGCGCTCGTGCCCTTCGTCCCCGCGGCCTTGCCCTTCGCCTTCTTCATCGCCTTCTTCGGCGCCATGAGGTCGATCCCTCGTAGTCGGCAAGCGCCTCGGCGCGAAAGCTCGGAAGATCGAGTCAAATCGACTTCGATTTGAGCCAAAACGGCTTCGATTCGAGCTTTTCGGATTCGAGCGCGATGAGGAATAGAGGTATGAGGACGAGGATAATCGAGCACTGCCTATGTTTCAAACGTGTTTCTTGTTAGGTAAGACGACGTCGGCGAGGCCGAAGTCCTCGTCGAGGAGAACGTCCAATCGTACATACATGATGACAGCCAAAATAGCCCGATACAACATTGTTCAGAATCAAATCAGGAACTTCGCATTTATGTTTGTGCGATGACTGAACCACCTGTGTGCATTCTACGTGTGTACACACATATATATATATATATATATATATTTATGCATATGTATGTGTATATATATATATCGCCATATATGTATAATTATGCCAGTCCCACTTTACAAATATACGCGTTCAAGCAGTTATGCACGCATGGTGTTGATTCGTATCGACGTTAGTCGCATATAGCGTGCGGGCATGTGTACATGCACATGCGCACTCATACATATGCACACAACTACTTGCATACATACTTGAATGTGCGCGCGTGTGTGCTTGTATGCAAAGTCCCTTCTCCCTCCCTCTCCCCTCCCCCGTCCTCTTGGCCCTCCTCGCCCCTCCTCCGTCGCCATTTTGGTTCAAGCCCTCGTGGTAACCCATTGCGAGGAGTCAGACGTGAACGAGGCGTGCCACTTGCCACGAGCCACTCTGATGAATATGACGGATGCCTGCCACGAGCCACGACCCTGCAGCGAGCTTGCGTTCCACATGCCACGAGCCACGAACCACGAGCCTGCGCACTACCTGCCACGAGCCACGGGCCTGCGCACGACCTGCTTGAAGGGTAGACGAAGATATCGCCTCCCATCGCTTTTCATGTCCACCCTTTTTCACGTGATGTCAGAGAACCCAACCGTGACAATGCATGTAGCATGAAAGAGAGGTGCACAAAGAGCTGCATCAAAGACGGCAAGCCCCATGGCGCACCCAAATCTGAGCAAGGGCGCGAAAAGTGCACTGAACAAGGGTAGCACAGTCAAAAGAGTAGCGATCTCAGGTGCGGGCTTAATCGGGATCGGACGCCAGCAGGTCATCGCGCATCGCGAGCACCTGCTTTTTCGTGAACTTGCGCTTGATCATCTCATCACGCACCTTTGTCATGACAGAGAACTGGCGCTCCTTCGTAGTGCTGTAGATATGCATCTTTTTGTTGTCCTCGGTGATGCCGCAGAGCTCACAGCGGGGCGGGGTCTCAGAAGTCGGCCCAGACATCGCAGGCCTGACGAACACGATCTCCGTCTTCGTGTCGGACTTGTCTCCTCCCTTGCTCCTGGACTTCTTCGGCTCAGGCGTTGCTGCAATCGGCGGGCCATCCAACGCTGAACCTGCGGCCATGGACGGTTTCCCAATCTTCATGGTGGACTTCTCCTTCAGGCGCGTGCGAGTCTGATTGGGAGAGGCTGCCCGACCGAGGCATCAAAATCAGAAGTGCAAAAAAAAACTACTTCCACCGACCGTCCGATGTGTTATATACTTACATATACATATACACATACATATGTATATATACTGTATATACATGTGTATATGTGTATATACATATAGATGTGTGTGTGTGTTTCGGTTTTGTTTCTTGTTTTTTTCCCATCTGCCGATGCCTCGATTGCAGACCTCTTCCTCGCCTGCGGCTTCTTGTCCAAGAAAGTGTGGCCTCCGACGCCCCCCTGGTACACGCCCAGAGCGTCGTACTTGTCCCCGCCCTCGCCCTTGGAAGTGTCATTGACCTCTACATCCTTGCCCTCGTCCTCCTCCTCGTCACTCCCAGACCTATCATCGGAAATGTGTTGGCCCTGGGGGGCTGAGGCCTCTGAGACGTGGTCATCATCTGCTTCCTCACGCGGCCTCACGTGCTTTGGAGGCGACTTCTCGGCGAAGACCTTTTTGAAGTGTTTGAGCAGGGTCTCGCGGGGGTCCGCTGAGGAGCACTCGTGAGAGATCACGGAGGCCGAGCCAACGCCAGACATACCATCATCGGATTTCGCGGCCCCGCCTGTAGGAGTGTCAGAGGCGGCCGCATCGATTCGATTGAGCCTAACTTGCTTGAGCATGCCGTGAATCAGGATGTTGTCAGTGGGGGTCATGGTTTTGCGAAACCCACCTGTTTTGGGATACCGCCTCCTGCCACTTGGAGTCGTCTTCTCGCTGTCGTCCTCCATTTTCAGAAGCCTTAGCATGTTGAAACACAACCTGATGTGATCAGACACCTCCGTCACCCAGCGCGTCCTGCAATGTGTTTTAGGTATCTCTTCATGATCACTCATTGCCCTGAGCACGGACGCCTCGACCTTGGCCATGGGTAAAACGCAATTCGTGAAGCCGAGGTCTAAAAAAGATTGCAATAGTGGTGCCAACGTAGCCGTCATGATTGGAGTCACTGCGTGCTGAGCATTTGCCAATTGAGGTATCAAAGAACTCCAGCTTTTATCCTTCTTGAAGCCCTGCACAGTTTCACAAATGCTCTCCTGCCCAACATTCGGGTTGGCAACCTCTCGAGGCTTCCGATCCTTCACCATCCGATCGAGAGGCAGAATCGCTGCTGCAAGCCAAAATCGAGAGGCAGAATCGCTGCTGCAAGCCAAAATGGCTCCTCCCTCCCTCGTCCCTCTCCCTCTCCCTCCCCTTCCCTCCCTTATCCTCTTCCTCGTCCTCCCACAGGGGCGCCATAAGTTCAAGGGGCCAGCGGAGGACGCGCCAGGACCCTTCAGGACGCGTCAGGACCGAAACGCCGAGGAAGGCCGCGTGGGCCCTCCTCCCCAAGGGCCCGAGGGCCCGAAACAAGCTCGCTATACGTTGTCACCGCGCACCTTTAGCTTAGATTCCAGAGCCGCAGGCCCAGGACATACACACATAATCCTGACATGTTTCTCAACAGCGTTTGATAATAGTTTAAGATGGCACCGAGACGCATCTAATAACCATCTAAGACACATATAAGATACACCTGATATACATATGAGATAAACAAATACATCTGAAATGCACCTACTATAACATACGATAAAGATAAATCTAAGGTAAACATAAGATAAATCTGAGATAAATATAAGATAAATCTAAGATACATCTTAGATACATCTGAGATAAATCTGAGATAAATCTAAGGTAAATCTAAGATAAATCTAAGATAAATCTAATATGAAAAAAGCGATGCTAAGATGAGTTAGATCTAAGGAAAAAAAAAAAAAAAAAAAGAAAAATAAAAAAAAAAAAAAAAAAAAGAGAAAAGATAAAAAAACAAAAAAAAAAAAAAAAAAAAAAGAAAAAAAAAAAAAAAAAAAAAAATAAAAAAAAGAAAGAATAAAAAAAAAAAAAAAAAACAAAAAAAAAAAAAAAAAAAAAAAAAACAAAGAAAAAAAAAAAAAAAAACAAAAAAAAAAAAGAAAAAAAAAAAAAAAAAAAAAAATAAAACAAAACAAAAAAAAAAAAAAAAAAAAAAAAAAAAATAAGAAAAATCTAAGATAAATCTAAGATAAATCTAAGACACGTCTGAGATACATCCAGGATAAATCTAACGTAAATCTATGGAACAACTAAAGTAAATATATGTGCATTTTCCTGACATAGAATTCAAGACACGTTAAGGTAAGGTTCGTATTTAAGTTAAGGTGCGCAAAGGTAAGGTACACATTTAAGGTTGGAAATTAAGTTAAGGTTTCGGTGTTTAAGTAAAGGTTCAATAATCTAAGTTAAAGGTGCGCTCCGGAATTTTAAGGGGCCCCGATCCATATGGGAGGGCCTGGGCGGGCCGGGCAGGCGCGGCGTGCGTTGCGCTCCCTTCGGGGCCGGCCCTAACGCCGGGCGAGCCTCGCAGCCTCCCCGCCGCCCGGGGGCCGATCCCCCCGCAGGTGGGACAGGGCGCCGGGTGGTCGGGCGGGCTTTGCAGGCTCGCTCAGCGCGAATGCGAGGGAGGGCGGGGAGGGTGAGAGCAGGAGGAGGAGGGGGAGGGGGAGGGGGAGGAGGAGGGCAGCAGCCGCGGCAGGTCGGGGGAAGGGAGGCATTTTTACCTGCGCGCGGCATGCACCAGCGCCGCGCAGGAGAGCCCCAGGTAACGGACCTTCGCCGCGAGCTCCCCGAGGTCGTCGGTGTCGGCGAGCACCCACTCCGCCAGCCCCGGCGGCGGCGCCCATACCTCCAGCAGGGCGGCACGGAGCGCATCAGAACCCGAGCACCGGACCAGCAGGTGGTGCAGCCCAGCCGGCTCTCGGCCGCACAAGGCACAGGTGGTCGGCAGGCGGGCCGCCCCCACGCCCCAGATGGCAGTTGGCAGCTCGGACGTGACACGCGCCACGCACCAGGCGCGGTGGAACCTCCATTGGGTCTGGCCCCAGGAGGCCCAACGGAGCTCCTCCGGCCAGGCCTGCCGCAGGGGAAGGACAGCCGCGATCGGCAGCAGCCCCGTGTCGTTGAGCTTGGCCAGCTGCTCGCAAAACCACACCCTTTCCGCTTCCCGCACCCGCGGGATAACGCAGGACCGCGCCCATAGCCGCACCACCCTGCGGCGGGCCGCCGGTCCCTCCGCCGCCGCGGTTTTCAGCTCGTCGGGCGGCGGCCCCACCCCGAGGCTCCGAGCCACCGCGGCTGCGTCCTGGAGCCAAGTGCCTCTGCCTCTTGCCAGCGCCGCCTGGACCGCGGGCGCGACGGGCGAGCCTTCGGGGAGCACCAGCAGCCGAGCCCACGCCAGAATGATGCGCTGGGCGACTTTGGCGGCCACGCGCGTCAACAGTCGCGTCTCCAGGAAGACGCGGAGGTAGCCCCCATCGCCAAAGGACGTGCCCGGAGGGAGCCCCACGAGCGCCTTCGCCGCGTCGTAGTATGCGCGGTTTAGCTGGGCCGCGACCGCGGCCCAGCCACGCGCATGGCTCGCCAGCAGCTCCGTGCCATACAGCGCGGCGGACTCGACGCGGCTCGGGACCTGACCAACGATCATGGGGAGGCCGAACCCCTGGTCCGAGAGAGCGGCCGTCAGTCGTCGCGCGCCGTCCCGGAGGGGAGGAGGAGGAGGAGGAGGAGGAGGAGGAGGAGGAGGAGGAGGAGGAGGAGGAGAGGAGGAGGAGGAGGAGGAGGAGGAGGGAGGAGGAGGGAGGAGTGGAGGCGGCCCGCCCCCACCCCCCCCCCTCGTGCGCGCCGCCAACGGAGAGGAGGGGCCCCCGCGGAGCCGCCGGGGCGCGGGGCCCGCGAGGAGGGCTCCGCTCTGCCGGAGCCCGCCGCGGGCCCGCGGGAGCGGGCGGGGCCGGCGGCGGGCTGCTGCAGGGCGGAGGCCCCGCTGGCGGGGGCCCCGCCGGCACCCCGCTCTTAGGAGAGTCGGGTCGGGCGAAAGGGGGGGGATTGGGAAAGGGGGGGGGTACGATCAGAGCCCCGAATCATCAGTGGTAACTCGGGTCAGGGATAACTCGGGTTCGGTTTTCGGGAACCCGAACCCGAGTTACCCCGGACCCGAGTTACCCTGGATAACTCGGGCGCCCAATACGAAATTTGCTGCATGCAGCTGGTTCCGGCCTCACGGAGGGGCCCATTCCTCGATGCATGGCCGCCTCCGGCGCCGGGGGGCGCCGGGAAGATCAGCTACGTGAGCTGATTCTCAAACCCCCCTTTGCTATCCCCCCCTTTCGCCCGACCCGAAGGGTGGAGGCCCCGCTGGCGGGGGCCCCGCCAGCACCCCGCTCTTAGGAGAGTCGAGAAGAAGGACAACAGCACGCAAACATAAACTCACCACCCACCAAACCACCCCAACCCAACCCGAAGGTCTCGATTTGCCCTACATTTCCAGCTTGGGGGGGTCGGGGAACGTCGAGAAAGCACATATGGCGCTGGCGGAGGCCCCGCTGGCGGGGGCCCCGCCGGCACCCCGCTCTTAGGAGAGCCGGGCGAAAGGGGGGGGATTGGGAAAGGGGGGGGTACGATCAGAGCCCCGAATCATCAGGGGTAACTCGGGTCAGGGATAACTCGGGTTCCTTTTTCGGGAATCCGAGCCCGAGTTACCCCGGACCCGAGTTACCCCGGATAACTCGGGCGTCCAGAGCCCCGAATCATCAGGGGTAACTCGGGTCAGGGATAACTCGGGTTCGGTTTTCGGGAACCCAAACCCGAGTTACCCCGGACCCGAGTTACCCCGGATAACTCGGGCGTCCAGAGCCCCGAATCATCAGGGGTAACTCGGGTCAGGGATAACTCGGGTTCGGTTTTCGGGAACCCGAACCCGAGTTACCCCGGACCCGAGTTACCCCGGATAACTGGCTCGTGTATAGGGGGTAGCGCGCGTCGCTTTGGTAGCTCGATAAGTTCGGCGGATCCACCTCCGAGTCCATTTGCGCGCGCGATACCCGACGGACTCGCGCGCCAGAGCGCGCCAAAAGAGGCCGGATGGATAGCAAAACGTGCCGGACACATTCCATGCGACGTACGTCTACACTCGCGCGATGGCAGCCCCGCGTCTTCCCGCGTTACATTGGCAGGGTACCTGCGAATGCGCTAATGGTTTTTGCGGTGGCGCCGCACTATAAACCCGTCGCGATCCAGCGACGCACGCGGCCCCGGGCCCAGACGTCGTCAGCGATGGCATTAATTTTTTTCGGCGTATTATTGAAACGTTGGGCCATCAAGCGTAAACTCCCCCTAAGATTTACCAAGCCGCGCGGGGGCCGAATGCGAACGCCGTGCGGCCCGCGTACCGTCAGCGCGCGAACAGACTTAACATCTCGCCGTGGGCGCGACGAATGCGGGCCGCCTTTAAAGCGCCAGGCGCATCGCGTGCGAAACAACCCTATCCGACTCGTGCGCGAAGCAAGTTTTGATACGCTTGTGGCCCGTGCGCGAGACGCATGCGAATCGCGAGCCGCTCGCCTGCGAACTGCGCGCAAATCACTTGCGAACCGCGCGCGGACTGCATGCGAGGCGCATGCGAACGGAGTGCAGCGTGCTACTCAGATGCAGCCGAATGCGAAACGCATGCGACCGCGTGCGTCGAGCATGCCAATCGTACGTGCGCCGCACACAGGACGCATATGGGATCTGCACATCAACCGCATGCGAAACGCACGAGGCGCGACCGAACCGCATTGCGACAGGTTGGCAGCCGCATGCGGCCCGCATGTAAATTGTATGCATACCGTATGTCGAACGCAGCGCAACGCAGCGAAGCACATCCCAGAGCGTCGCAGTTTGAGTCCTTAGGAGCCCACAGAAGTCAATGGGAGTCCTTCGGAGCCCGTCGCACCTGATGCGTGTTGTGTATTTAAACGTATATGTATATACATATCTATATATATATATGCATTATGTATGTGTATATATATATATGTATACATGCGCTCATTTGCTTATCTGCATTTATGTAAGTACACATGCGTCTGTACATGTTCGTTCTATGTATTTTCGTACCAGCCAGTGCTTAATACATATACATACATATATGTACATATATATATATATATATGATCTGTGGTGCTCCTAGACGCCAGGCCATGTAGTGCTACACGCGTGTACACGTACATTTTTATATGCACACATACAACATATCCAATACACCCTATTGGCATTCGGCCATTCCCGCCACCGCGCCTGGGTTATGTGGCAGAGGCCTCATGTATGTTCGTTGGGATCTCGTGGGGAGGCCTGCCGGGGCCTGTTGGACGCCGCTTTGGGGCTTCTAGGAAGCCGTTTTTTTTGCCTATTGTAAATTTC